ACCATTCGCACAAGCGCACACGCACGCGTTAGAGTTTGAATTAAAATTCAAATTTCGATTTAGATTCGAAAGGTATTGGGGTCTTCGGATCCGAACCGATCGGATCTTATGAGATGGGTGCGTGTGTGTGTGCGGGTGTGTCTGCCTATGTGAAGGTGGTGTGTCTGTCTATGCGTGTTCTCTCACCAAATCTATAAATTAAAAGAAATCCATAACTCTGCAATGAATACAATCTAATCGTATCGTATCAAATCGAATTCCATTCAAAGGCTTCAGTTTGCGCGTTTAGGTGTGTATGAAACATCCAAATTATCGCTAATTGTCTATAAGTGTTCCCTATTTATCATGATATTATGTATGTCTCCCGTTGTTTTTGCTGATTTTATTGTTGTTTGCCGTATGCTTAGAGATATTCCTAGTTATAGTCGACTCTGCCTGCGTCTGTCCTGTATCTCCCTTATCACCTGTTTATGTTTTGCGTGCTCTCCTTCTTTATTTTCCCCTCCCTCCGAAGCTTGCAACACGTTGCTTGAGCCCTCTTTGCGTAATCTTTAGTTTAGTTAATATTATTTCTGCATATCTAGTCGTCTAGTCGAGATGCTGAAGTGGCTGAACGAGTCTTCCCGGCTTGAGTATAACCTCTTTTGTGCTTCCCCACTTTTACAGGAGGCCTCTGCCCAGCAGCAATTGGCGGCAGCCAGCGAACAGCAACAGGTGCAGGTGCAGATAATGCCCGATGGCCAGATCCACGGAAAGGTGATCAAGTACGAGATCTGCCGCAGTGTCTTGCCGGAGGATCAGCAGCAGGAGCAGGGGGACATGAGTGCGGACTAATCTGGAGCGATTGTAAATACGTGGCAAGTGCAACAGCGACACCAGCAACACATAGATAGCAGCAACAGCATCAGTAGCAACACCCACAGCGCATAGAAGAACACCAGATCCCTCCCAGAACGGTCCTCGGAGTGAGGCGAATGCGTCGTAAGCGATTCCCTTAATTGTAATATTTTAGTTAGTTTTAGGTTACCGGCTAAGTAATCGCATTGTACACATAAAAGTTAACTAGCGTTACAGACATGAACACACACACCTTATATAATATATATATATATATACAGACATATATAGATTTACGATTTAGAGAGTATCTGTTAATTTTTGCGATGCCTTGGTCGCATCTAAAACAACAACCTGTATGAGTTGCAAGTTTTAAAGCGTTACGTTCAATTGGTTTTACGCATTACACGAGTTTTAATAACACAACTTATACACAAACTTATATTCAACTAGACGACAAATATTTATGCTTAAGTGTAAACTGTAAACATATTAACACGAAACATAGACGGATAACGACTACGGATAGTTCTAGACACTAGCGCATGCGTTGCACTTGAATACGTAACACCGGGGGCTCCAATCCAGTAGTGGCGAGGCGTGGGCGATAGCGTGGTCGCGAGTGTGGGCGTGGACTTGGGACTGAATCTGGGTATGGGTAGGGGTATTCCTGTCCAGAATCGCGTTGGTGCAGCACATTTCGAATGTACATACAGAAACCGGAGTTGGCTGCAACACACCAAGTAAATGCATAACAGGTCTGACAGAGTGGAGGGACTCGAACCGGAGAGTCTGGAGGCTAAGGAATGTGGAGTAGGTGCCTGGCACAAAAACTAGCTAACACAGATATATCCAACACGAACGGCGACGGAGATCTTTAGCGTAGGTGGCTGCAATTGTTTGACAACCCCAAAACACAGCCTAGCAAAAGAAAAAAACTTTACAAATTATTCAATGAAATTAGAACACAAGAAGCAGCTAACAAGAACAGACACTCTTATAACCAAACGACCCACATCATCCAATGCACGCTTGGCGACGTATATCACACTGTAAAAATTCGAAGTTAAGTCTTAGGAACGCGTTAAAGCAGACGGAACATAATTGGTAATTATCGTAATCGGATAAATGAAACAATAAATAATGAACATACACTAAGCATATATTTTAATATGTAAGCCTTAAAGAAATACAAACGGAAAATATGAATTATAATAAACAAAACAACGTGTAATTGCAATTAATGCTGAATTGTTCAAGCAATGGAGACTGTTCACCTTGCGAAAATATTATGGGGGGTCTTATCTATACTTTTATTTTAACTCGACAAGCAGCGATCATTTGGTTTTCTATATGTTGATAAGAACAGCGCCACATACCGTGCTTTTCATAATATCACTATTGTTTGGATTTGACCCATTAAGTCATATCCAAACAATTGTAACATTACTTGATAAATAAATGGTTGTGGGTTCAATACAGTTCAACCATGTTGGAAACATTTTTCAACACTTTCAGTGACTTGGGGATACCTGAGTGACCTAATACTCTGACTCGCAGTGTACCGCCCAAGGAACTTTCTTTTGTCAAAAATGAATGAATAACTTATTTATAGATTGGCGATTAAACAAACAGACGCGAGTATTTGCCATATTGACTGTGAGTCAACGCAATTGCAATTTTTCACCAGTAAATCGTTAAGATACTTATGGTATGAGTGTGGGGATGGGAATATCTAAAGTGTACAAAGTTTGTATGCTAATTTCGCAGAATGCCAAGGCAAAAGTAATGTTAGATAAGATAACACTAATATATGTGGAAACAACACAAATTGTTCTCTAATGGCTTTGCCTAAGCGAAAACATTAGGCGAAGCGTTTTAGGTGTCTCAAAATGGCATGAAACTATTACCTTTGAGTTCCTGCCCCAATCGACGGATAGGTCCAAGCACGTCGGGAGTGTCCAACATGCTACCCGTAATCATTACAATTCATTCACCGCCGTAACTTTTAATTGTTTTTAATTTTTTCGAGCTACAAGTGAATAAAATATTCGCCATGCTACGTGACTGGGCTCCTCTTCATGCCCATATGGGCATCGATTGAGTCAGTTTTGGATATTCCGGCGTCAGAGAATGTCGTTTGCAAGTCTGCCCTAAAAGTGCATTGTGCAATGGATGGGGCGCAGTAGGCAGTAAAAAAACCATTTCGGAGATCTCGACATTTCGGCCAACTGGCTGCCAAATAAGGGCTGACATGGACACGTTACCTTGATGTGCATTTCGGCTTATTGTTAAATTAAAATAAATTGAACTTGAGGCTACGCGACAGCCGAAACTTGCGCATAAATTGAGAGCACGCCTCTGAGAATTCAATTTTAATTCCAAGGAAACACTGTGAGATGAGCGTCGAGATGTCATCATCATCCCCACACTCGATAAAGCTATCTCCCTAATTAGTCGGTCCCCACTTTTTGTTCCCAACGCACTGGCATAGTTTCCAATTGCCATTTGATCTGAATTGCAGCGTGCTCCAGATCCAGTTGCAATTTTAGGCCCATGCCCATGTCGATTTGTGTGTGCGGTGAATTGCTAAGCAGGTTCCACTGTGGCCGCTTTTATTTGCCACTTTAATTTTGCATTTGTGTCTTACTTCTATTTGTGTGATTTTATTTTGTGTACCCGGCCAGCAAACAAGTTTTGATTGCTTTTGGCTTCGCATGAAAATGAGTTTCGGTGCTCGTTTGCTCGTTGCTCATACGCCGCGTATGACGTCAGTTTCGAATTAAGCAAGAACTGGGCTTTGCTTTTCTAAATAGCTCGATTCGCCCGGTATCTATATATACACACACTTGGTTTTGGAGGTCACATGGGGTTCTTTTTCATTATGCAGCTGATCTATTGCACGCCCCTTTTGGACATATCCACTTCCAGATGTTTTTCATTTGCACCCACCCAAAGGCCGTTATAAATCAATTGGGCCATTGAGAGTGTATCGGGGCAGCATTATGGCGAATAAATCTTGAGCTTAACGTGGCTTACTCAGCTCCGGCGGAGACGCCCACGTAGCGCCCGGCTAGACGATCTCTGAAAAAGTGGCTACAAACATGGCCAGCATACGCTGACTAATCCGTCTCCGTTGCTATTCAAATTTAATTGTGCATCCGACAGACACAGCCGTTAGAGCCCGACCTAATTTGGCTTGCCAATTTTGCGTTTAGTGTCAATATTGTTTTGGAAGACTGTTTGCTACGCAGGCGCACGCCCTGGAAGTTCGTGCTGCTCTGTTTTTGAGTACCTGACAAGCTCAAACAGAAAGACCGCCGGCATCGAGTATCGGGCATCGGGGCAGCAAACATCAGACATCTGTTTGTTTTGTTTTTATTGGCACTTTCACAAAAGATCGATGCGGTGTGCGTGCGGTTTTTATTGGCTTATTGAACTCGGTCTTCGTGGCAGACCGGGCCAGGGGCGGATCTGCATTTTTTGTGGGAAGAACTTTTTCAATTTTTATACTGATAGTCGGGAAAGGTCCAGAAGATATTTCACTTATTGATTTTTGGGACGGTAGGTTGAAAAAAGTCTTTGGGAATACCTCGGTTTCACAGAAATTATCTATTGAATTTCTTTGGAAGAAACTGGTGGCGATATAAGGAGTCTTATACGGGAAAGGTCCAAAAGATATTTGACATATTGAAAAAAGTTTTCGAAAATACCTCGGATTCACAGAAATTATGTATGGAATTTCTTTGGAAGAAACTGTTGGTGATATAAGGAGTCTTATACAGGTTGACTAATTTGTTTTCGATGTGGATTGGAATAAACAACTTTGATTTGGAAAATCATCAGGGTACCAGAACTTTCCTCTGTGTTTTTTTTCGGACGGATTGGTTGTTATATTAGGAGTGTTATGATGACTTTTGGGAGCACTAACCCAGGTTATGAGCCCATTGGATCCACGCCTGTTCCGGCCTACGCATCCGTCGGAATACGAAACCTACGCTGGCCTGGCTTTAACTTTTTGCCTTTTGCGAAGGCGTCTTGCCTCTCGCTCGCGCCAACGGTCGAAAGCCCACAAAACGCTTCTGCCGGCGCCGCTGCTGCCGCTTTCAGCCGGCAGCGCACAGATAGTCGGTCGAAAGCAGCTTCAGACGCGATCAGTACGTTTTGAGTTGTGTTTCGCGACGGTTGGTGATCTTACAAGTGCTCCGAACACGAACAGTGCCCGCGGTCTCTCGGTTTTGGATTTTTAATTTTTGGCTCTGCATCTGTATCTGTATCTGTATCTCGATCGGTCTCAAACTGCCTGCATCCGTGAACCTCTCTCTGTTTCCACCTTTCGGGCGTAAGCGAGTGTGTGTGTTTGTGAGCAAGAGTGCTAAGCTTTTTGCTCACACGTCTAACAACGGGGTTGCCAAAGTGTGCGTGTGCTGGGGCCTTAACTTGAACTATGGTTCGCCTGTTCGTGTGCGTCTAATAAATATATATATTTAAAAATAAGTATTTCGACATTCCCCGTCGTGGAAATTATGTGACACACCAGTCCACAAATCCCAACAACCACGTCCCATTTCTACGCAACGACACATTATTAAAAAGCCATCCGAGTGCCAAAAGCAACGAAGCGAGCAATAATTGTGATTAATAACAACGAAACAAACGAATACCGACCGCAAATTAGCCACATAAGGCCAGTCAAATAGCTATAGTCCAGCCAGGTGCATTATTCACGGCTTCCAAACAGTGATTACCTCATCTTTGCCAGCGCTCCGCCAGCAAAATGGTATCAAAAAGCAATAAAAAGAAACAAGTGTCTCAGCAGCAACCGTCGACGTCGCAGTCGCAGTCGCAGTTGTCTCAATCTCAGCCGCCAGCAACATCGACCACAACATCAACGTCGTCGGCGGAGGCCACGAAGCTCACCAAAAATCTGGGTCCCGATGCGTTTGCCACTCTGAGCACCAGCAAGAGCTCCAGTTCCATGCAGCACGAATCGGTGACGTACGGTGAGCCTGTGGCCAGCACTTCGGGTGCTTCGCTACCGGCGGCAGGAGTCAGGAGCTACAGCAGCCGTAGCCAGAGCAAGAGCAAGGCCTCCCAGTCGCATTCCTCATACACAGAGCAATCTCAGTCCCAGCTGCAATCGGAACAGTACAGCAGCAAGATCTCCCAGGATTATGCCAATCAGAAGATCATCTCATCGATTGATCTGCTCGAAAGTGAGAAGAAAGAGCCAGTATTCTCGGTGCCCATCGAAGTGGTGGAGATCGTAACACCCACGCTATCCGTCTCCGCCAGCGGGGGCAGTGTCTCGAAAATGTTCACGTCCTCGTCGCAGCAGCAGGCTAGCAGCTCCAGCTCGTACTTCCAAGCCACAACCAGTTCCAGCCGGAGCGCCAACGAAACGCTGATTGCGAGCGAGAGCGCCGATACGGCTACCGGTATGACATCATCCGGGCCGAGGAAACAGGTTGGCTTCGATACAGACACCAAGAGAGTGACAAACACCAGCAGCAGCAGCAACATCAGCAGCAGCATGAGCACAAACACAAACACTAACATCAACACGAACACAAACACAAACGTCAAAATCAGCAGCAGCAGCAATGTGAGCGAATCTCAGAGCGTGCCAAAGCTGCCAGCGAGCGGAACAGCTGATGCTCCCACATCGGTGACGTTGCAAGGCTACCCCGAACCGGTTGCCGCGTCGTCTGGCGCGACCACAACAAAGGCGACGTCATCGACGCGACGCAACGATAAACTGGAAGTGGCCAGCACAGACACAGCTGTTGATAGAGCTACGTCATCGTCTAGGTCCAGCAAAGAGGTCAGTGAGAGTTCCATACTCAAAAGCTCGAGCAGCAGCAAACAATCGAAGACTTCGTCCAAGAAGGAGGTGTACGATGTGAAGACCAAGACCTGGACGGAGTACAGCGATGGCAGCTCCCAAGGACCCAGCAAGTCTCGGCCGACCTTCGAGCGGTATGTCAGCAAGGACACCGACGGCAGCTCCAAAGTAACGTACAAGAAGAAGATATACGACAAACGCAACAATCGGTGGCGCGTGGTGGACGAACGGACGGTGGACAGTACCGCCGACACCGGCTATCCCGAAATAGTCGATGATGTCATTAACACAACAAGAACCACATACACCACCAAGGTGTACGACACGAAGCTCGGCAAGTGGACTGTGGTGGACGAGAAGTCGTTCACTGATACGAAAGCTTTCGTGCCCAATGACATTGCTCGTGAAATCGAGAAAGATAATACCGATGTTGCAAACATAACGACTACAACGGAGGTAACAAAGGTAAGTCATTGCTTGTGCGTGCCTGCGTGCGGGCGTTCATTAGACTCACCCAAAACCAGAAACCGCAGACGAAAGTTTCGTGGGTGTGTGTTGAATTTTGATTCTAAGGAATTTTCCTACAGATTTTCGATGCAAGCATCAACGATTGGCGTGTTTTGGACGAGAAGGTGCACACAGATGTCATTGAGAAGATCGTAGAGGCTCCCAAAAAGACCATTTACGTAGACGAATTTGTGGAGATTGAGAAGAACACCTCGATATCGGAGAACAATGAGAACATAACCCTGAACCTAAAAGAGACATCGAAACACAAAAATATTACCGAAAATATTTATGATGAAATCGATTATGTGCGCACTGATAAGCAACGCCTAGACGACTCAAGAACCGTAAGTAGATTAGTTAAGAAAACAAACTAAAGATTTCTGAAATATTTGTTTTGCGGATTTGTTAAGATTTCAAACAATTCTTAATACTAATATTTTTTAATTCTTTACATTACTAGCGAGGAGTTGCAAGAAACAAGTCAACAACACATAGTGAAAGATGCATATGTGAAATCTGCACATGCGGGTATGTTTTTTTTGGTCCCAAATACTTATATTTTTGTTTGCTATAAGCCATACTTTCATTTCAGGCGACATCATTGCTCAAGCAGTACAACGAAATCCTCTGAAAAAACCATTGTTCAAACCGATGGTATGTCGAATTTTTTAAATAATTAAATAATTTTTTGTTAAACATTTCAAACTTTTATAGATAACGTCGACGAAGCATATACTAGGATACGTACTAATACATGGTCGAAAGAAGATCGTAAAAACATTCCCAAGCCAAACGAAGACATTCTTGTGGACTACATAGTCATAAAAAAACCAGAAGACAATTTAAGACCAGAAGGAGACTTTATAATTCCACCGAAAGAACCATATAAGCCGGGAGAAAAACGAGAAAAAATTGTGCATACCGATAACCTTCGCACAGAGGGAGAAATGACTTTCGTAGAGAGAGAAGAATATCAATACACTGTACGTCCTGGATATGTAAAGCCCACAGATAACCTTAAGCCCGAAGGCGAGTTTTATAGTCCAGAAAAACCTAAATACCAACCGGGAGATCGACCTACTCAGGTTCGACACCAAGACAACCTTAAACCAGAAGGCGAATTTTACACTCCCGAGAAACCGGGATACACCCCAGCCGATCGCCCACAGCAAAAGAAACCAGTGGATAACCTTAAGCCGGAGGGAGAATTTACTTCTCCGGAAAAACCAACATACAGACCTGCCGAAAAAACTGAAAAAATAATACGAAGTGATAACTTGCGGACTGAAGGCGAAATGACATTTGTGGAAAGAGAGGAATATCAATTTGTGAGACGGCCGGGACAAGTCAAGCCAACAGATAACTTACGGCCAGAGGGTGAATTTTACAGTCCTGAAAAACCAAAATATGCTCCAGGCGATCGTCCATCTCAAGTTCGTCCTGTTGACAATCTTAAGCCCGAAGGCGATTTCTATGCTCCTGAACAACCCGGTTTTAGACCAGCAGAGAGGCCAGTTCAAACGAAACCCAAGGACAATCTTAAACCAGAAGGGGAATTCGTTAAGCCTGAGAAACAAGTTTACAAACCTGCCGATAGAACTGAAAGAATTATTCGAACAGATAATCTTCGCACGGAAGGCGAAATGTCTTTTGTTGAGAGGGAGGAATATCAGTATGTGGTGCGTCCTGACCAAGTAAAACCATCAGACAATTTAAAACCAGAAGGAGAATTCTACAGCCCTGAAAAACCGAAGTATAGGCCAGGCGAAAGGCCTTCTCAGGTAAGGCCGGAGGACAATCTTAGACCAGAGGGTGAGTTCTACACACCGGAGAAGCCAGGGTTCAGGCCCGCTGAGAGACCTGTGCAGAAGAAGCCGGAGGACAACCTGAAACCCGAGGGAGATTTCTACAGCCCTGAGAAAACCAAGTACAGGCCTGGCGAAAGGCCTTCTCAGGTAAGGCCGGAGGACAATCTTAGACCAGAGGGTGAGTTCTACACACCGGAGAAGCCAGGATTTAGGCCCGCTGAGAGACCCGTGCAAAAGAAGCCGGAGGACAATCTGAAACCCGAGGGAGAATTCTACAGCCCCGAGAAACCGAAATACAAGCCAGGTGAAAGACCATCTCAAGTAAGGCCAGAGGACAATCTTAGACCAGAGGGTGAATTCTACACACCGGAGAAGCCAGGATTTAGGCCCGCTGAGAGACCCGTGCAAAAGAAGCCGGAGGACAATCTGAAACCCGAGGGAGATTTCTACAGCCCTGAGAAAACCAAGTACAGGCCAGGCGAAAGGCCTTCTCAAGTAAGGCCGGAGGACAATCTTAGACCAGAGGGTGAGTTCTATACACCGGATAAGCCAGGATTTAGGCCCGCTGAGAGACCCGTGCAAAAGAAGCCAGAGGACAATCTAAAACCCGAGGGAGAATTCTATAGCCCCGAGAAACCGAAGTACAAGCCAGGTGAAAGACCTTCTCAAGTAAGGCCAGAGGACAATCTCAGACCAGAGGGTGAATTCTACACACCGGAGAAGCCAGGATTTAGGCCCGCTGAAAGACCCGTACAAAAGAAGACAGAGGACAATCTGAAACCCGAGGGAGAATTCTACAGCCCTGAGAAATCGAAGTACAAGCCAGGTGACAGACCTTCTCAAGTCAGGCCAGAGGACAATCTCAGACCAGAGGGTGAGTTCTACACACCTGAGAAGCCAGGATTCAGACCCGCTGAGAGACCCGTCCAGAAGAAGCCTCAGGACAACCTTAAGCCCGAAGGCGAGTTTGTTAAGCCCGAGAAGCAAGTTTACAAACCTGCCGAGAAAACTGAACGAATTATTCGAAAGGATAATCTTCGCTCGGAAGGCGAAATGACGTTTGTTGAAAGGGAAGAATATCAATATGTGGTGCGACCTGACCAAGTAAAGCCATCAGACAATCTAAAACCGGAAGGTGAATTTTACAGCCCTGAGAAACCGAAGTACAAGCCAGGTGAAAGACCTTCTCAAGTCAGACCAGAGGACAATCTCAGACCGGAGGGTGAGTTCTACACACCTGAAAAGCCAGGATTTAGGCCTGCTGAGAGACCCGTGCAGAAAAAGCCCCAGGACAACCTTAGGCCCGAAGGCGAATTTGTACAGCCTGAGAAACAAGTTTACAAGCCGGCCGAGAAAACTGAACGAATAATTCGAAAGGATAACCTTCGCTCGGAGGGCGAAATGACGTTTGTTGAAAGGGAAGAATATCAATATGTGGTGCGACCTGACCAAGTAAGACCATCAGACAATCTAAAACCGGAAGGAGAATTCTACAGTCCCGAGAAACCGAAGTACAAACCAGGTGAAAGACCTTCTCAAGTAAGGCCCGAGGACAATCTCAGACCGGAAGGTGAGTTCTACACACCGGAGAAGCCAGGTTTTAGGCCCGCTGAGAGACCCGTCCAGAAGAAGCCCCAGGACAACCTTAAGCCCGAAGGCGAGTTTGTAAAGCCTGAGAAACAAGTTTACAAACCTGCCGAGAAAACTGAACGAATTATTCGAAAGGATAACCTTCGCTCGGAGGGCGAAATGACGTTTGTTGAAAGGGAAGAATATCAATATGTGGTGCGACCTGACCAAGTAAAACCATCAGACAATCTAAAACCGGAAGGAGAATTCTACAGCCCCGAGAAACCGAAGTACAAGCCAGGTGAAAGACCATCTCAAGTAAGGCCAGAGGACAACCTCAGACCAGAGGGTGAGTTCTACACACCGGAGAAGCCAGGATTCAGGCCAGCTGAGAGACCTGTGCAGAAGAAGCCGGAGGATAATCTGAAACCAGAGGGAGAATTCTACAGCCCCGAAAAACCGAAATACAAGCCGGGTGAAAGACCATCTCAAGTAAGGCCAGAGGACAATCTCAGACCAGAGGGTGAATTTTACACACCGGAGAAGCCAGGATTTAGGCCCGCTGAGAGACCCTTGCAAAAGAAACCAGAGGACAATCTGAAACCCGAGGGAGAATTCTACAGCCCTGAGAAACCGAAGTACAAGCCAGGTGAGAGACCTTCTCAAGTCAGGCCAGAGGACAATCTCAGACCAGAGGGTGAGTTCTACACACCTGAGAAGCCAGGATTCAGGCCAGCTGAGAGACCTGTGCAGAAGAAGCCGGAGGATAACCTGAAACCCGAGGGAGAATTCTACAGCCCGGAGAAACCGAAGTACAAGCCAGGTGAAAGACCTTCTCAAGTAAGGCCAGAGGACAATCTAAGACCGGAAGGTGAATTCTACGCACCGGAGAAGCCAGGATTTAGGCCTGCTGAGAGACCCGTCCAGAAGAAGCCCCAGGACAACCTTAAGCCTGAAGGGGAATTTGTAAAGCCTGAGAAACAAGTTTACAAACCTGCCGAGAAAACTGAAAGAATTATTCGAAAGGATAACCTGCGCTCGGAAGGCGAAATGACGTTTGTTCAAAGGGAAGAATATCAATATGTGGTGCGACCTGACCAAGTTAAACCAACAGACAATCTAAAACCGGAAGGAGAATTCTACAGCCCCGAGAAACCGAAGTACAAACCAGGTGAAAGACCTTCTCAAGTCAGACCAGAGGACAATCTAAGACCAGAGGGTGAATTCTACACACCTGAGAAGCCAGGATTCAGGCCTGCTGAGAGACCTGTACAGAAGAAGCCGGAGGATAATCTGAAACCCGAGGGAGAATTCTACAGCCCCGAGAAACCGAAGTACAAACCAGGTGAAAGACCTTCTCAAGTAAGGCCAGAGGACAATCTCAGACCGGAAGGTGAGTTCTACACACCGGAGAAGCCAGGATTTAGGCCCGCTGAGAGACCCGTGCAAAAGAAGCCAGAGGACAATCTGAAACCCGAGGGAGAATTCTACAGCCCCGAGAAACCGAAATACAAGCCAGGTGAAAGACCTTCTCAAGTAAGGCCGGAGGACAATCTCAGACCAGAGGGTGAGTTCTACACACCGGAGAAGCCAGGTTTTAGGCCCGCTGAGAGACCCGTCCAGAAGAAGCCCCAGGACAACCTTAAGCCCGAAGGCGAGTTTGTTAAGCCCGAGAAACAAGTTTACAAACCTGCCGAGAAAACTGAACGAATTATTCGAAAGGATAATCTTCGCTCCGAGGGCGAAATGACGTTTGTTGAAAGGGAAGAATATCAATATGTGGTGCGACCTGACCAAGTAAAGCCATCAGACAATCTAAAACCGGAAGGAGAATTCTACAGCCCCGAGAAACCGATGTACAAACCAGGTGAAAGACCTTCTCAAGTAAGGCCAGAGGACAATCTCAGACCGGAAGGTGAGTTTTACACACCGGAGAAGCCTGGATTTAGGCCCGCTGAGAGACCCGTACAAAAGAAGCCAGAGGACAATCTGAAACCCGAGGGAAAATTCTACAGCCCGGAGAAACCGAAGTACAAGCCAGGTGAAAGACCTTCTCAAGTAAGGCCAGAGGACAATCTCAGACCAGAGGGTGAATTCTACACACCGGAGAAGCCAGGTTTTAGGCCCGCCGAGAGACCCGTCCAGAAGAAGCCCCAGGACAACCTTAAGCCCGAAGGCGAGTTTGTTAAGCCCGAGAAACAAGTTTACAAACCTGCCGAGAAAACTGAACGAATTATTCGAAAGGATAATCTTCGCTCCGAGGGCGAAATGACGTTTGTTGAAAGGGAAGAATATCAATATGTGGTGCGACCTGACCAAGTAAAGCCATCAGACAATCTAAGACCGGAAGGAGAATTCTACAGCCCCGAGAAACCGAAGTACAAACCAGGTGAAAGACCTTCTCAAGTAAGGCCCGAGGACAATCTCAGACCGGAAGGTGAGTTCTACACACCGGAGAAGCCAGGATTTAGGCCCGCTGAGAGACCCGTGCAAAAGAAGCCAGAGGACAATCTGAAACCCGAGGGAGAATTCTACAGCCCTGAGAAACCGAAGTACAAGCCAGGTGAAAGACCTTCTCAAGTCAGGCCAGAGGACAATCTCAGACCAGAGGGTGAGTTCTACACACCGGAGAAGCCAGGATTTAGGCCTGCTGAGAGACCCGTCCAGAAGAAGCCCCAGGACAACCTTAAGCCTGAAGGCGAATTTGTAAAGCCTGAGAAACAAGTTTACAAACCTGCCGAGAAAACTGAACGAATTATTCGAAAGGATAACCTTCGCTCGGAGGGCGAAATGACGTTTGTTGAAAGGGAAGAATATCAATATGTGGTGCGACCTGACCAAGTAAAACCGTCGGACAATCTAAAACCGGAAGGAGAATTCTACAGCCCCGAGAAACCGAAGTACAAACCAGGTGAAAGACCTTCTCAAGTAAGGCCCGAGGACAATCTCAGACCTGAAGGTGAATTCTACACACCGGAGAAGCCTGGATTTAGGCCCGCTGAGAGACCCGTGCAAAAGAGGCCAGAGGACAATCTGAAACCCGAGGGAGAATTCTACAGCCCCGAGAAACCGAAATACAAGCCAGGTGAAAGACCGTCTCAAGTAAGGCCAGAGGACAATCTCAGACCAGAGGGTGAATTCTACACACCGGAGAAGCCAGGATTTAGGCCCGCTGAAAGACCCGTGCAAAAGAAGCCGGAGGACAATCTGAAACCCGAGGGAGAGTTCTACAGCCCTGAGAAACCGAAGTACAAGCCAGGTGAGAGACCTTCTCAAGTAAGGCCAGAGGACAATCTCAGACCAGAGGGTGAGTTCTACACACCGGAGAAGCCAGGATTTAGACCTGCTGAGAGACCCGTCCAGAAGAAGCCCCAGGACAACCTTAAGCCTGAAGGCGAATTTGTAAAGCCTGAGAAACAAGTTTACAAACCTGCCGAGAAAACTGAACGAATTATTCGAAAGGATAACCTTCGCTCGGAGGGCGAAATGACATTTGTTGAAAAGGAAGAATATCAATATGTGGTGCGACCTGACCAAGTAAAACCATCAGACAATCTAAAACCGGAAGGATTATTCTACAGCCCCGAGAAACCGAAGTACAAACCAGGTGAAAGACCTTCTCAAGTAAGGCCCGAGGACAATCTCAGACCGGAAGGTGAATTCTACACACCGGAGAAGCCTGGATTTAGGCCCGCTGAGAGACCCGTGCAAAAGAGGCCAGAGGACAATCTGAAACCCGAGGGAGAATTCTACAGCCCGGAGAAACTGAAGTACAAGCCAGGTGAAAGACCTTCTCAAGTAAGGCCAGAGGACAATCTTAGACCGGAAGGTGAATTCTACGCACCGGAGAAGCCAGGATTTAGGCCTGCTGAGAGACCCGTGCAGAAGAAGCCCCAGGACAACCTTAAGCCCGAAGGCGAATTTGTAAAGCCTGAGAAACAAGTTTACAAACCTGCCGAGAAAACTGAACGAATTATTCGAAAGGATAATCTTCGCTCGGAGGGCGAAATGACGTTTGTTGAAAGGGAAGAATATCAATATGTGGTGCGACCTGACCAAGTAAAACCGACAGACAATCTAAAACCAGAAGGGGAATTCTACAGTCCCGAGAAACCGAAGTACAAGCCAGGTGAAAGACCATCTCAAGTCAGGCCAGAGGACAATCTCAGACCAGAGGGTGAGTTCTACACACCTGAGAAGCCAGGATTCAGGCCAGCTGAGAGACCTGTGCAGAAGAAGCCGGAGGATAACCTGAAACCCGAGGGAGAATTCTACAGCCCGGAGAAACCGAAGTACAAGCCAGGTGAAAGACCTTCTCAAGTCAGGCCAGAGGACAATCTCAGACCAGAGGGTGAGTTCTACACACCTGAGAAGCCAGGATTCAGGCCAGCTGAGAGACCTGTGCAGAAGAAGCCGGAGGATAACCTGAAACCCGAGGGAGAATTCTACAGTCCCGAGAAACCGAAGTACAAGCCAGGTGAAAGACCTTCTCAAGTCAGGCCAGAGGACAATCTCAGACCAGAGGGTGAGTTCTACACACCTGAGAAGCCAGGATTCAGGCCAGCTGAGAGACCTGTGCAGAAGAAGCCGGAGGATAACCTGAAACCCGAGGGGGAATTCTACAGTCCCGAGAAACCGAAGTACAAGCCAGGGGAAAGACCTTCTCAAGTAAGGCCGGAGGACAATCTTAGACCAGAAGGTGAGTTCTACACACCGGAGAAGCCAGGATTTAGACCCGCTGAGAGACCCGTCCAGAAGAAGCCCCAGGACAACCTTAAGCCCGAAGGCGAGTTTGTTAAGCCCGAAAAGCAAGCTTACAAACCTGCCGAGAAAACTGAAAGAATTATTCAAAAGGATAATCTTCGCTCGGAAGGCGAAATGACGTTTGTTCAAAGGGAAGAATATAAGTATGTGGTGCGACCTGACCAAGTAAAACCATCAGACAATCTGAAACCAGAAGGAGAATTCTATAGCCCCGAGAAACCGAAATACAAGCCAGGTGAAAGACCTTCTCAAGTTAGGCCGGAAGACAATCTTAGACCAGAGGGTGAGTTCTACACACCGGAGAAGCCAGGATTCAGGCCTGCTGAGAGACCAGTGCAGAAGAAGCCGGAGGATAATCTGAAACCCGAGGGAGAGTTCTACAGTCCTGAGAAAACCAAGTACAAGCCGGGTGAAAGACCTTCTCAAGTAAGGCCAGAGGACAATCTCAAACCGGAGGGTGAGTTCTACACACCGGAGAAGCCAGGATTCAGACCCGCTGAGAGACCTGTGCAGAAGAAGCCCCAGGACAACCTTAAGCCAGAAGGCGAGTTTGTTAAGCCCGAAAAGCAAGCTTATAAACCATCCGAGAAAACTGAAAGAATTATTCAAAAGGATAATCTTCGCTCGGAAGGCGAAATGACGTTTGTTCAAAGGGAAGAATATAAATATGTGGTGCGACCTGACCAAGTAAAACCATCCGACAATTTGAAACCAGAAGGAGAATTTTACAGTCCTGAGAAACCGAAGTACAAGCCTGGTGAAAGACCTTCCCAAGTTAGGCCGGAGGACAATCTTAGACCAGAGGGCGAGTTCTACACCCCGGAGAAACCAGGATTCAGGCCAGCTGAGAGACCAGTTCAAAAAAAACCAGATGATAACTTAAGGCCGGAAGGAGACTTTTACAGTCCTGATAAGCAACCTTACTTGCCCGGGGTACGTCCTTCCCAAGTTCGACCTGAGGATAATTTGAGACCAGAAGGAAATTTCTATGCCCCAGAAAAGGTGCAATATAAGCCTGCCGATAAGGTGACAAGAGTTATTCATAAAGACAATCTTCGCAGTGAAGGAGAAATGACTTTTACTGAAAAAACTGAGTACCAGCATGTTGTAAGACCCACTCCAGTAAAACCAGAAGATAACTTGAAAACCACTGGTAAGCTTTACGTACCTGAAAAGCCAACTATTGCAAATGGTGAACGCCCCGAGCCGGTTCGGCCTAAAGATAATCTGAAACCTGAAGGCGTAATGTACACTCCCGACAAACCGCAATATGAACCTGCTTCCCGCCCTGAACAGAAGAAATATGCCGATAACTTAAAACCAGAGGGTAAAATGCACATCCCAGAGAAAGAAGGGTACCGGCCGGCAGACAGGGTAAAGACGGTTATTAGAAAAGACAATTTAAGAACCGAGGGTGAAATGACTTTCACCCAAAAGGAGGAATACCACCATGTAAAACGTCCAGAGCAAGTAAAACCCAATGATAACTTAAAAGTCGAAGGCGAATTCTATACACCCAACAAGACTGCCTTTAGGCCCGCTGAACGACCCATCCAAAAGAAACCTAAGGACAACCTTAAACCGGAGGGTGAATTCTATAAGAGGACCGACCGAAGCGAGACCGATAGCACGACAGTAACAGAAACCATTAGAAGAGAAACGCCTAAGCGTCCCGTTGACAATTTGAAGCTAGAAGGTTCTATGACAGTAACCAGACGAGATGATTATAAAAATACGGCTAACAAAACCATTGATAGAACTCAGCGTACTCAAAAAATCAACCACAACAGTTCATCTATTACATTAGGAAGTGATACTACAATCCGCAAAACAACAAATCAGATGAACTATGTGTCCGGCAAGGACGCCATCAAACAAGTCGATTCCAACAGTCAGAACCCAGTGGACGGTCTTATTGTTGTATCCACAACGAAGGTAACTACTGTGGTAGGAGGACGTCACAAGAAAGAACCAGAAACCGAGTATGTCAAGAGACCAGCTAAGATAAACGTTATAGAAAATGTTGCCAAGAATACAACGACAACAAACATCGAGAACACTCAAAACATTCACAAAGAAACCACGTCGATGCAAAGAAACCACAACTTAGTCCAAAACGCTGCTTTGACTTCCGAAAACATCGCTTTTGAATCAAATCGTAGACATTTATCCAATAATATCACTGGCGACGTAAGCGCACGGGTAGTGTCCGGTGAAACTATCTCTAACACTGTATCTGGCGATTCTTCATCAAATCGAGTAGTTTCTGGAAGAAATGTTACCAGCAGCGTAACGGAGGATTCGACTTCCCGAGTTGTGTCGGGAAGAAACGTATCTAGCAACATAATTGGTGAGTCAACCACTCGTATGGTTTCTGGAAGAAATGTTTCCAATAACATAACTGGTGATACCACAAGTCGAGTGCTGTCTGGAAGTACAACAGGGCACAACATCAGTGACGATTCCACATCGAGAGTGGTGTCAGGAGGCAGAAATTCCAGCAACAACATTGTAACAGGAAACACATCCTCGCATGTGACCACTTCGAAGCACTTCCATCACCGAAAGAGCGAGTTCTCATCAGAAGCCGATGTTTCGAATACGGTCTTCCATCGCAAGAACGTAACCAGCGATTCGAATGCAGTCAATGGCAGTCTGACTTCTAACGGAAAGATGCAGCGAAAGAGCATACTAAATCTACACGAACAGCCCTCCAGCACCACCACCCATGGCGGGGAGCGTCAAAGTTACAGCAGCATCCATCGCCAGAATCGAGACTCTGACGCAAACTCCGCTTTGACGACCGAACGTCGTACATGCAACGTGCATAAAGAGAACAGGGAGCACAATGTCAAGAACTCATCCTCATCCTCTATGTCCCGCATTATTTCTGGCGGGGCCACCGGAACTGAACTGAACAGATCGAATGTGGAACGGTCAACGGTGACACGCACCCAAGTTTCGGGGGGTGGCATCGATTTTCCGTCTCAATCTCACTCACACTCTGGAAGCCATGCGACTCGTCATCGAGGAAGTCAGCATGTGTCCAGCTTGGGCGGTGGCATCGATTTCCCCTCCTACAGTGCTCATGCTCACGGGCACACCGAGCGTGTGGTAACCCGCCGTGGAAATCAGTCCTCAATTAGTCTGGGCAACGACAAGTTTACCGGCTCCAGTTTGTACAAGAGCGAATACATTACTGCCCCAAAAACGACGTGTGCTGTGCATAAGATAAAACAAGGTGCATTCCAACATACCAGGAGTACTCAAGAACACAAGTTCTTCAAGACCTCAAACTAACAATGCCACCCTACGAGTATATAAATATCTTTTGCTTTACTAATAAACATATCCCATAATAATATTATTATAAGCTTCCATGACAATATATGTTTTATACAATATACAAACCAATCCGAAATGAAGATTAACAATAAATAAAAATTTTTGACACGAAGAAGAATTTCAGTTTTTTCAGGGCCAAGATGGGGTTTTTGCTTTAAGGATCAACTGGAGATGATGTCTTTATTGAAAGTTTAAAAGATGCTAGTGTCGTTTTAAGGGCTAGTATGTAAAGGTAACTGTATATTTAAACGTTAAAAAAATCCGCTTGGCTATATATAAACAATGAGTTCTATCTATAACATACTCGTACATTTCGTTTTGTATTTGTATAATGGTGTACATTTGCAGTTTATTGTTTTTCTCTGTTCAATTTGTCTATATCTTATAATGCATATCAACACAATAAACATTTCTCTTCTTATGTTCTTACATACTTATGCATATTTATATATTCATCGATTCTCTTATTTTAGTTGTTGTATATATCATAAATCATTAATATTTCTGTTTGGAAGACATTTTTTCGCTTGTTTGGAAGACTTGCGTTTCGTTTCTTACTGACTAACATTATTGTTTCTTGTTTCGTTTCGAGTGAATGGTAAGTTTATACGAATTACATTTACATTTTGGGCACAGCCGAATAATGACAAAGCATCTGGAAGACTTGCCATGCCCAAAAGTGCAAGAATTCATTAAATACGAATCTTTAGGTTTGATAGTTTACATTCAGTTTAAAATGGAAGACCGATTTCAAATGCGTTTATCAGGGCATTGCCCGAATCGTAGATTCCAATAACGCCAAAGAGCACGCCGAGCCCAATGATGAGGTAGTCTTTGGCTATTTCCTTCTGATCTAGCAGGTGACCCTTGATTTTGATGTGGAAATAACAAGGCCAGATAAAGCTAAGCATTGTGCCAGTGAAGCTGCCAATGAAACCCATCAGAATGGAGAAATGGGGAATAAAGATTGCCATCAGGATGGTGGACACAATAACGCCGACGCGGAAACCCAATCCCCAGACCTTCAGTTCCCCGTCCAGATTCCAGATGGTCGGGAATTTGGTCTTTGGCGGACCTCGAAAGAAATTGCGCTCGAGCAACTCACAGGCAGCATAGTATGGCAAAGGGTAGCTAAGGAGGGCCTTGATGACCAGAAAGAAGTTCACCATGCCCTTGAAGCCCTGCGAGTGCAGGTTGTTGGTGATCACCTGCTGCGTGTCATTTTGGAAGGTCAGAAAGCAGATGTACCCGAATCCAGCCTTAAAAACTGCAGCCGCGATGTGAGACCAGTCCAGCATCCAATTAAACTTGGAGCGGTCGATCATGTTGCCCTCGAGGGTGGGCAGAAAGATCTGCGAGGTGTACGAGAAGACAATCACACCCAGTGAGATGGGAAAGTTCTCCATGTCGATGCTAAAGCGGACCTTGGACCAGCCCCAGTCGCCGATCTGCAGCAGGCAATAGCCGAGGATCACGGCGTTTATCACGATGTGCGACATTGTGCACCAGAACGAGAGGGTCGAGACCATTTTCAGCGACTTCAGGAAGCCCATGGGCAGCAGGAAGATGCCCACAAAGAGCATCCAGGAACGCGAGTCAAACGAGCCCTGTGGATACGTTCCGGCTAATAGATCGCCGCACACCACCACGTAAAGGATGCAGGTCATCAGAAGCTCAATGAGCTGAGCGATACTAACAGCCCGGGCGCCCAATTTGGGTCCGAAGCATACCTTGGCAATGGCCACGTAACTGTCGCGCACTCTCACCATCTGTCCCGTTGCCGGATCTGGCTCATATAGACACTGCACCAGGACCTTGCCCGTGTAGCAGCAGATGTGTGCTATCCCCACCATGGCCACGATGGCCCAATAACCGCCATGGAGCACGGCGAAGGGCAGCGATACGATAAACATGCCCTGGATGGCATTTGTGACGTTCCAGCCCGCCTGGAACTCATCGATTTTGCAGCCGCCGCCACCTTCTCCCTCGCAGACAAAAGAGCTTCCCTCCGAGGCGATGCTGCCTTGCCTGAGGACAAAGGGTTTGCAGAGGATTAGGAACTGCTAATAGAATTGGTTACTGTTCTCCAAATTAACCTACCTAAAACCGTCCGTTTGCTGATACCTGCCATCGTACTCGTTGAAGGAGGTGCTCTGGTACTCGTTCCTGTACTCTCCATCACCTCCACCCCCTCCTTCGTTTTCGTTCGTCCAGCTACCGGCATTCCGGAAGGGATTCGAGCTCATCTCGGTGGTCTGATCGCCGCCATCCATGCCCGCCTCCATGGCCTTGTGGTGGCCCTGCTGGCTGTGGTGCTGCTGTGCGGTGCTGCCCGGCGGTTGCTCGTAGTCCTTGCGCTCTGGAATTTGCTGTCGGGCCGTTTGCACGGCCACATTGAGTATGTTTCTCAGGGGCGGCAATGGCGTGGCTTTCAATTTGGCTATGAATGACATGTTGGATGCTGGCTATAAACGGCAATGGCCCTGATGATGGTGGGATGGCTTATGGGGGTGGCGGTGGTGGTGGTGTTGCTGCTGCCTGATGGCGGCGGCTGCGGTGGTGTCAAGAAGGCGTGCGAAGTTTATCGATTTTATCAGAATTTTCCTTAACAATTTCGTTGGCCTCCAGCTTCCGCAATGGTTCCCAAAATTTCTCTACCTTGGTCACATAAAGATTAACAATCTAGAAAATAAAACTGAATTTTGTCTCAGATTTTTAGGGGGGGTTTGATATCGACTTCTTGGCGCCCTTCTGCACGAATGGAGCACGTTAATCATGCGATTCTCGGATACTTGCACATCCTGCTCACTCGAATCTCGGAGTCCAGTTTGGAAAACTAGCGAAAAACGGCCGAAACCAATGCGGAATTTAGTTGAAAAGGTATTTTTTGAATTTTATGTAACGTGAGAAATCTGCGGCCGTGCGAATGAGAAAAGAAAATCTTTGCACTCCAACCTGATGGAACTGGCAGTGCGCAGGCTCCGGTCGTGTATATATCGGGTGGCTGTGTCAGTGTCATATGGTCACGGTCCATCCGCGTTCCACCCCAAGACTCCTGTCATTAGGAACTTACGTTCCACACTGACATTGAAATCGATTATGCGTTTCGATTACTTAGGATTTACTTTATTTCGTTTTGTTTGTTTTTTTATTTTGTATCATGATATAAATTTCATATTTATAAAGTTCTAATAATTGTACAATTCAAAGAGTTCTAGGTCTAGGCTCTAGGGACGGGGACGGGGGGTTGGAAGAACATTGTGGGTGCGCGGGGTCAATCTTAAGACTACCTAAACCACTCTCTAAACTCTAGTTACCAAAATTACAAACCTCCGATCAGAGTCAGTTGCTGTAGCAGGTCTTGCGCACTCCCGCCAAAATGTTGCTAATCTCATCGTCTTTGCGCTGCTGCTGTTCGAAGAGCATCTCCCCGACTCCCACGCCCACGCCTACTCCCACCATACCAGGTCCTGGTCCAAAGTGATGGTGATGGTGCTGCTGCATGGCAGCCGGATTCGAGGTCACCGTCTGGTTGGGAGCTGGGATCGCTGACAAGGAAGGCGGAGCCGAGTGCGAGGCCTGTTGCTGCTGGACGGGCGCTTGGATTTGGGTCTGCGGCTGGGCAGCCATTCCCTCGTAGCCTCCATAGTTCCCGTAGTGCAGGTAGCCCCCCTGCATGGGCTGTGCTCCGTAGGCACCCGCGGCTCCTGTCTGCTGGAACGGCACAGCCAGCTGGAGGGGGAAGGCGGTGAGGGAAGTTGGCGGATACGGAAGTTGGGTGTAGTAGCTGGCCGCCGTGGCCGGCAGCATGGCGTTACTATAGGCCTCCGCCTCGTAGTCATCATAGTTCTGATTCGTGTCCGGGTATTTGAGGCACTTCTGGCCACTCGTCGCTTCCGGCGAGGGTTCCTTGTGCTCCACCGCCGATGACGTCGAGTAGTCCAGGTCGTTGCTCTGATAGCGCAGGAAATCCTCGTACTGCATCCCATAGGCATTGGCACTGGGCAGAGAGTACTCATTGCCGGACAGCTCATTCATGCTGAGCCTCAGATTGCCGCAGTTGTCCGCCATGGAGACCGTGTAGCTGCTCATCTCGCTGGAGGAAATGGGACCGGCGGAACTGGAAGGTGTGGTCGTGGCCAGATTACAGTGCTGCTGCTGCTGCATAGCACTTATGCTATTACGCATCGAGGAGCTACTGTCCTCCTCGGAAACGGAAACCGGGGGATAGAAGGTGCCCTTGACAGAGTGACCGTGATCCAGCAATCCTCGATTGTTGCAGGTCACGTACATTCCCCGGGCGGCCACCACGGCCACGGATGTGGGTGCCAGTGGATAGGAGGCAGCATACAGACCCTGCTGCGATTGCCCTTGCGACTGACCCTTGCTCTTCTCCTCCGACTTGGAGAGCTTCTCCTGGCGCGACTTGGCCGCTCGACTAGGCGATGGCTTCGTTAGCTTCTTCAGCAACAAGGAGCTGTCGTAGCCTCCGCCCGTGGGCGCGGACTCGTTGAGCAGGGCAGGCGCACAGTTGGCGGCCAGGGATTCGATCTGCTCCGTGCTGTCCGCATTGCTATAGCAATCCACCGAACTGGGCGAGTATGTGGGCTTTAGCGGCTGTTCGTAGTGGCCACCACCTGGATTCTGGTTCGAGGAGTTGCAGGTGCTTTCGTCGTGGCTGGGCGTTGTGTAGTTGGAGGAGGCGGTGGCCAGCGGGGGCGTGGCCAGCTTTGGGTTCGATTTGGATCCACCGGTGCCGGGATTGGGTGAGCTCTCGCTCTGCTCCTTGCCACCTGGCTGCATGGCCCGCAGCTTGGACTGCTTGCGCCGCCGGGGTCGGTACTTGTAGTTCGGGTGCTCCGTCATGTGAATCACCCGCAGACGCTCCGCCTCCTCCACGTAGGGCCTGCGATCCTGCGGCGTCAACGAACGCCATTTTTTTCCTACGGTGAAGGTAAATATATAACATGTTAAGAGACTAGCTTTCATTTATCGCAAAAACCATTTATCTTGGTAATGTTTTTGACATTCTCTTTTTGTATTTCCTAATATAAGTAGTTTTTTGCACCAAATCTGGGCTCATGGTCAGTCGAGTTAAAAGTATGTTTTGATACATTTCAAAAAGTATTGGGGTTAATTGTTTATTCAAAAGTTTAATATAATTTTCTGAATATGATTTTCCATACACCCAGAAAAAAGGTTGAAAAAGTTTAAAAACGAAGATCAATCGGTGTTGAAAAGTGTGATCATAAGAAATGTTCGAAATTGTTCATGACTTTATCCCAATGCGTTCAAGGCTTGACATTTTTACGAAGGAAAAATGAGAACAAATTGTTCTTGAATCACAAAAAATATTCTTGAATCTTTATGTTCTGTAATATATAGCATAAGAAATTGATGACAATTTTTTAAGTACCTACTCTTTAACCGTATGAGATATAAAGGTATTAATTTATATCGTTTTTAAAAAAAAACTTTTAAACGAACTTTTAAGGAATAAACAAATATATTACATTTTAAGAACATATAGGTAACCTAAACAAAATTTTAAAAACGAAATTCCAAAATTTTACGTATGTATAATAAAGTTTTTTTAAAAACAATGGCATGCAAACTAAAGAGGGACTTAATAAGAAGGGATTGGTTTATAACAGAATGAACTCTGTAGGCATTTAAGCCGAATTATACAATTAGTATCGTTAATTACAGATGGCTCACCTAACATCTTGCTGAGGTCCGCATTATGCAGGTCGGGATTCTCGTCGGCCAGCTTCTTTCGCTCGATCTTGGCCCAGACCATGAAGGCGTTCATTGGCCGCCGGATTCGCGATTCTTTGGCACTTTTTGACTGGGTTCCGCCGGGCCGGTACTTGAGGTCGGCGGGCAGCGGCTTGTGCCGCTCCAGATAGCCACAGTTCGGGGCGCACAGCTCGCCCTTGTAGTCGTAGCTCCACATGGACGCCGGTTCGATGGGTGAGTGCGAGGTGCAGTCCTCCATTCCGGCGTGTGGATGTGACAGAAACTTGTTGAGCACCGAGTTGCCGCCACCCAGCAGAGATATGTTGCTGTTGATCAGCGATCCGGACGCAGTGCCTCCGCCCACATAGGCACTGGACACCATCGGCATGGGCGAGTGGCTGTGCGCCGCCAGAACAGCCTCGTTGAGGTGCTCGTTCTCGTAACTCTGTATGGCTGGCGAGTGCAGACTGGGCGAGGAGTGCTCACTTCCCTGGCGCACATGGTAGATCCCGGCCTCACTGTTGCCCTCGTGCATCAGACGCCCATCCGTCAGGTAGCCGCCGTGCTCCGGATAATCGCTTCCAGTGGAGTGGCTGTACTCCGGAGTCCGCGAGACGTGGGGGTACTTCTTCGAGCTGAAAGGAAGTTAACCAAGAAATTTAAATATGGATAAGCCGGTGACAGGGACATGTTATTTCCTTTTCAAAGATGAACACTCTGTGCTCACTATAGTAAGTACTATAGTACGTATACGTATGCAATGCAATGCCAGTCCTTAAATATTATAACAACAATATAAAATTCGAATAAATAAGAATTCAAATTAAGAAATATCCGAAGTGCGCAAATCTAAATTAGCTTACCTAGCATTTTTTTAATGCTTTTAATGTTATCTTTTTTAAGAACAAGCGATTTTATTATACTTTAACATTTTTCTACGGGCTTAGAAAGTCTATACTTTTTATAAACAAGTTGTTCAAAATTAAAAATTAACTTAAAAGTGAAGCCGCCTAGAACGCAAGTTCAATGTCAGTCATTTAAAAACTAATCTTAACACAAATTAATGATTTTTAAATTAAAAATAAGTGATTAGTTATCTTAGTATTAACATTTAAACCTAAAAAACCATCCAACTATTATTTCAATATTGATACGCAGTGGACTACTAGACAATTATCCAACTTGTTTTAGCTGATTATAAAATTATTACCCAAACATGATGAAACTGCTGAAACTGTTGCTTAACCCTTAACAATACTTCGAACTATCCTTTGAAAAGTGATCAGCAGTGGATAATTAACAAATGACCCCAAACAAATTTCCCCAAATTTATGTGATTGCTAAATATGTCGATTAACCCTTAATGGTCTTATCTAAGTCGTGTTTGCTCATACAGATCTCTTTAAGCCCTAATCTGTTAATGGCAATAACTGTATGTGTATATATCTGTAAATAGAGCACACACAATCTATAAGCCCCAATCAAGATGGAGTTATCCCTAAAGTCGAGTTCCCGCCTCGTATCACATTCATGATCGTTGTTAATCCCTCTCTTTTGAGAGAACAAGAGGCTACTGCTGGAAATTACGTACCGTCGGCAAAAATGTCCGTCGCAGTGTTCTTTATAATGATATTTAAAAGGGCTGCTAAATACGTTGACAATTTTCGCGTCGCTGGCACGCACAGAGGATCACAAAAGCAGGGGGTATACGGGTGTGGGGGATAGGATCTAAGGGATACAGGGGAATCGAGGGAAGGAGTACCTATGGCTTTGCATTTATCAGACACCAGAGAGACACAAACTGGAACTCGAGATCGGAACGGAACGGTTCGCCCATGGGCTCCCTGTATCGGTGCGCTCCTTAATGTCAGCGGACATAAATGTAAATTGGGCGCGTGCAGCTATTGTATTATCAAAGGAGGCCGCTTCGACTTCAACAAGCCACCGTCGCGGAGTAAGCAAAGAAGCTGGAGCAGAAGCTGGTACCCAGACGGGGATTCAGAGACTGGGACGGAGATGGAGATGGAGGCTCTGGACCAGACCGCGACTCAGATCGGGAATGAGACTGAGAATGAGAATGAGGCTGGCCGCAGTCTGGCTGCCTTGCCTTACCTTGCCATACCGGACCTTTATGCATAACTTTTAAAACTTGCGACATATCGACACATTTCAAAGTAATTCGCCTTCCAAGAATTCAGCAGCATTGGGAGCATGGAGAGCAGAACCGAACGACAAGTTTAAATATTACCCAAAGCTCCCGAGATCCCGACTTTCGATCCTTTGGGGATCGAGAGCCATGCCGCAGTATGCGTGCTCCCTCGATCTCCTCGATTTGTTACCGTTTGAATTTATTGCTGCCCACTACACTTTTGGTCTATTGTGTGCCGCTGCCGACTGTAGCCTCTATAGTCTCTATAGCCTCTATAGCCTCTATAGCCTCTTTTGCCTACCTACCAGAACCACTGGGCCTAATTGTTTGCCTTTGGATCTGGGCTTCCAGCCACTGAGCTCTTAGTTTCCTAGCTCTAATTCTTCTGGCCTTTGAGACCCGAACTCTTTAGTCTTTCGAGCTAGGCTCTAAGCCTCTTGACTTCCTCCTCCAAGATTCCTTGTCTTCAGCTAGGCGCTCTAGTTTCGGCGACTTTCTTCCTTGACAATGCCGCCAAAGTTGCAAATTTCGGTTGTGGAGTACCCTTAGGTTGGCCAAACCGTAACCAAAACCCCTTCAATAGCCCCCTTGGCCCCCATCTGAATGTTGGAAAGGACCAGCCCTGGCTGAAGGCTTGATAATTTATTGAGGGTTTTCGGTGACGTCGTTACGTTTTTGATATTCGGTTGCGGCTGCCGCTGCCGCTGCCGCTAAATACTTGGCCAGCTTGGCCAAAAGGGGTACACAAAATTATACCGTCCTGTGGTACCTCCACATGGACCGTCCGTCCATTCGCCGCTGTCCAACCTGTCCCAACTGTCGGCTGTCTGGTCGAAGTCGGTCTGGCTTTATCCTAAGCCCGCTCACGATCCACGAAAGCGGAGCTTAGCCAGCTTCAGCTTGAGATTTCAGCTTTAGCTTCAGTTTCTGTTTCGGCTTCGGCTTCTTAGCCATGGCCCTGATTTTAAAATAGGACACATACAGTGGCCGGTAAGTTGGCATTTTTATGCGCGCAAAATGTCAACATCTTTGCAAAATGCCACATATTCCACATTGCGGCCAGCCTCCTTAGCCATCCTCTGCCCCCCACCTGTCTCCCCTGTCCAAAGTCCCCAGTCCCCAGTCCGAGTACTCGATGTCCGCCGCCGAGTTGGGGACCCATGGAACGTTTTGTTTACGACAACATCGACTTCTCTGGTGGCTGTGGTGCCCGGTAAAAGTGGAAAGGGGCATTTGGAGGTGGAGGCAGCGGGCGGAAGGGGACTCCCCTTGAAGCTGCCACAAAAGTAGGCAACTCCTCCCTTTTAACAAGCCCCTGACTTCGGCTTCATTCAGGAGCCGCTAACTCCCAACCGAAGAAGCCGCATTGATCTGGAGAGTGTCAGGCGCTTTAGCATATTGTGATTCATGTGACGCTCTGCCGCGCTGCTCAAGACAGCCTTTTAAGTCGGAGGATCCGGACCCCTATACCGAAAATCAGATGCATACATACATATTTATACCCGTTACTCGTAGAGTAAAAGGGTATACTAGATTCGTCGGAAAGTATGTAACAGGCAGAAGGAAGCGTTTCCGACCCCACAAAGTATATATATTCTTGATCAGGATCACTAGCCGAGTCGATCTAGCCATGTCCGTCTGTCCGTCTGTCCGTCTGTCCGTCTGTCCGTCTGTCCGTCTGTCCGTCTGTCCGTCTGTCCGTCTGTCTGTCCGTCCGGATGAACGCTGAGATCTCGGAAACTATGGGAGCTAGGCTATTGAGATTTGGCGTGCAGATTCCTGAGCTTCTTACGCAGCGCAAGTTTGTTTCGGCACAGTGCCACGCCCACTCTAACGCCCACAAACCGCCCAAAACTGTGGCTCCTACAGTTTTGATGCTAGAATAAAAATTTTAACTGAAATGTATTGTTCTCATCAATACCTATCGATTGACCCAAAAAAAAGTTTGCCACGCCCACTTTAACGCCCACAAACCGCGAAAACCTGTGACGCCCACAATTTTTATGCTAGATAAAAAATTTTAACTAAAATGTATTGGTCTCGTCGATACCTATCGATTGATCCAAAAAAAAATTTGCCACGCCCACTCTAACGCCCATAACGCTTAAATCTGTATACCGCCGGTAGGTGGCGCATTTTAATCTCGCTTTGCTGCTTGCATATCTCCATATAGCTGAGTAACGGGTATCTGATAGTCGAGGTACTCGACTATAGCGTTCTTCCTTGTTATGTATATGGTGATGGGGGGAGGGGGAGGGACAATTGTCACAGGAGTTGGTAATAAAGAGTTGGCATAGGACTCCCCTTAATCCATATACATTTTCTTCCATATTCCTGGCTAATTTTAGAAAGCGTTTCGGGGGCCGCATAACTTTGGCCTGACATACTGACATTCCAGCAAATAGGACAGTAATTAAGACAGATCCACCGCTACGGTGAGCTGTCAATACCTTTGTCTAGCCGCCGGACAATTCGGCAGATGGGGGCTACGGGGGATCTTCTGAGTTGTGGACAGGTATGTGACAACAATTGGGCAGATTTGTCTCGGATTCTAAACAATCACTGGGGGATCAGAGTCGGACTGAAGAACAATGGCATTCTATTATTTGGCAGATTTGTTAGACCCTCTTTTTTTTTGGTTTCATAGACCGATTTAGACATTGATATGGAAATCGGTAGTGCAGTGTTTTGGGTAAGGGTTGAATACTTGTCAGAAATAAGTTGTGACTTAAACGGCAGAACTTGGTTTAGGTTTAGTGGGAGCTATACAATTGATTATCTTAAATTTCCAAGGACTTAAACATATTAATTATTCAAGATCTACTTCCCATAACAAATCAGTTAACTATTATATTAAAAAATGATGTTATACGTAGCATTATTACTATTTTCTTGTTCATACTTCATTGTACATTCCCCATAATAAACTGATATATTTCTTTATAATATGTGATGGAGCCCTAGTGCTAATGTTCCCATCAAGATAGACCCCATTAGTGACCCAGCTTGCCCTCATATACATTTTAGAAAGCTTCTGCCCAGCAAACATGCTAATTAACAACCTTGATATATAATTTATTTAGATCTGATTGTGAGCTGTATTCAGAACTAATCACTGCTCGATTGCATAGCTTAACCTCCATGATCTGGCCACCAAAGAGCTGCATGCCTAGAATGGCAAATCATTTGGCGCCTCATCTGCGATCGCATTGGGCCAGTTTGCTTGGCATCGGTATGGATGTAAGCGGTGCGGCAAGGTAATAAAAGCCATTTTGGTTTTCGGCCACAGTCAAAGGAGGCTGAAAGGAGGAGGAGGAGGCTGAGGTGGGTGTGGCCAGCGCCTGGCGAAGAGGCATCTGCCGCAGCTCTCCATTTGCTCCATTTGCAGTCTATTGGCTGCCTGCTGTGGCTGCAGGCGCCCCAACCCGAATACAAAACAGATTTCCAGAGGCAAGAAAACGAGTTTGGGCCCAAACGACTTGGCACGACTTGGGCCCAGTTCCAGTTGGAGGTAAGAGGTGCAGGTACGGGTATACGTATACTTGCAGAGCTGCAGAGTTGCGGCCCAGGTGTGATGTACTTGAATAACTTAACGACGCAGGCCCGGTCTCGCAGACCCGCGATGAGTATGAGTTGTCGGTCGATCGGATCGGCCATTTACGCATACATATGCATGGCCGCCTATATAAACATACATATGTATATATGTAGATGCTGTTGACCAATAAGCATAAACAGCCCAGCATCCGGGCCCAAAGAGCCGCCATCTTAGCTTTAATGAATATGAACATGAAGGTGAGCTAAGGTGAGCTCTACCTGCTCCGCTGCGAATGAGAATGAGATCGGTACGCACAATGGATTGGGTATACATATATATATACATACAGACCGTATATATAGGATCTGGGCATACATAATTAAACTAATGAAGCAAGCGAAGAGCGAAGCATCATCATCACCATCCATCTTCGAGGGCCGAGCGTTGCCGAAGTCGGCAAAGTTTCGTTCGGCTAATGAGGTTTATATTGCGGCTGTCGTCGCTGGGTTCCCGATCCCCCAGTCCACCTCTCTTGAAACCCCACCATCCCATCCCATCCATCGAAGAAACAACGAAGACCCAGTTCTCACACAAGCGATTTTAAGAGCATAAAAAAGATACAAAAATTTAATGGATTTTAGCACGCACACCAGCACACGCAGCGGAATATACACGTAGATACTGATACAGATACAGATACACCCTCGCAGGTTGATGGGGTATACTAAATTATATGGATTGCATGGAAATGGAAATGGAGGCAGTGCTACATGCTCGTACCAGTAAGTAGAGTAATTGCATGTGGAGGATCTGTACTTAGCTAGTTGGTGGAATCGAAAATAACTAGCCGGGAACCGGACCCCTACAGGGTTCCAAGGAAGTTGTGTCCAGTTCTTGACTGCAGTCCTGATTTTTGTTAAGGGTAAAATGATTTCAGGGGTTGAGGACTACCTTATACGTTTTCCAGTGTGTAATTGGGCAGAAAACTGTTATGTACCTCATGTCAATTATACTAATTAGTTTTTTTCTAAGACAAGTTTGGGGTTGTTTACCAATGAAAAACTTTCGGTGGTCGAAACTCTATTAGTCATGAGGTATCCAAACTTCTGCTTCTGAAAGTTATTTAATGTCAAAAGATAGCTGTTGAGTAACGCCAAGTATGAACAAGACTATTGTCACATATTAAATAGAGCGCACTGAATTAGATTTTGACTACAAAAAACTTCCATCGGCAAAGTTAGGAAAACATATTTAAGCATCATTTAAATTAGTTCAGTTTTTACAGTTTTTTAACTCTGAATATCGAAAACAGTTCTATTAAAAGGCGTACTCAAAATAATTTTTAAAACATTGCGTGTCTTAAAGTTCTAAAATCTTTTGCTTAATCTGAAAGTATTAAAATTCACTTTAGAATTTATTTTTAAGCTCCACTTAGAAATTGTTAAGCAACTTAAAAGATTAGTGCCAAAATCTTACGAACAATTCTTGTTAACTACGAAAACAATCTTACTTTTTATCTACAAAATAATTACTTTATGCAAATATTGACTACAACAATTTTTCAAAAGACATGCGGTAATTACAACAATTATTATAATTTTAAAAATAATATAAATTTTTGTTTGTAAGTAAATCTAATAAATTGTGACAATGTGTAATTTCTAAAATCACACTATATCGCACATTTGACTTATGTATATGCAAATCTTATTACTCAATATTAACACTTATTATTAACAACAAAATAGGGCTCTTCTACATGTGCAGGCCTATCGGCATTATATTTTGTTATATACTGATATATTAGCATAATTGCAATTATTTTAACGCGTAATACGAACTTACTTTTTTTAGACGCGTATCAATAAATAGCTTAAGTTTAATTCTATAGATTTGTATTTAAGGTTTCATCATATTTTAAATAAAAGTTAAGGAAGATAAAGTAGTTTAAAAGAGCCACTAATTGAAAGTTGTCAATTACAACGAAATGCTATTAATTTGAATAAATCGTTTATGTAACAATAATATGAAAGGCCCGAATAAAGCAGTCCTATACGCAATGAAAACTAGCTGAACTGAAAACAACTAAGTATTACAATTTGTTTAAAATTAAAGTTTAAAAAAATTTTTTTTTAATATTAATATGCGACTTTTATTTTTAAAAACTTTGTTCGTACTATTTTCTATATTTTCTCAGTAAGTGAGCTTTCTTTTTTAAGAACAGAGTGCAAGCTATTTAAGTTTTTCTTTATATAGCCTCAGATTCATCATTACAATTAACCAATTAACCTGTCGGCACACGATTTATACACATTTTAAAAGATTTATCTCTTGCTTCCAAGAAGTCTCAGCCATTGGAATCTCCTTTTACGTCAATGAAAAGCTTTAGTTCCTGCTTGTGAACTAAGGGAACTAAGGGAAAGTCCAGAAAATATCATGTCTATGTTTCTTAATGGCAGGGTGTACGTCAATGACATGCATATTGAGTAACCAGGATCTATGGTCAACCACGGTCAATTATTAAAATATTTTAATAGAAAATAGGAAGGCACCATTGCTTATTTAATCACTATAGATTTCCTACCCAGCTCAGTCATAGTAAAATCTTAATTAATTGCCAAACTTGATTGGAAACACACATATACAGATGGTTGTTTATTGGTCATTGAATTTTATATTTATGTGAAAAACTATTTAGATTGAAAACAAAGTTAGCAAAGCTTAGGTAGATCGAAGCCTTGACTTGATTTATGGGGGAGCCATAAAAGATCAAATTGAATGAAATGGCATCAAATCGAGTTGATTTGTGGCCCTGTCACGTGCTGAGCCAATCCCAAACAGGAAGATTCGAAAAATGTGACGAAAAATGCGACAAGCTTTCGCCCGTGAAATCTTTGGGGTGTTTGGGGTTTTTATATTTCTTACGAAAAGTGTGCGGATCTATCGGAGCTTTTCATCAGTACTTCATTTAATTTCATGGCTTCATTTCCATTCATAATTTCAGCCAATTTGTAGACGGGAATTTCCCGTCGGAAACTACGAAAGTCAGTCAGCTAAATGGGAAATATATATAGGGGATGTACTATATATACGGATATTAAAATCTCATGCGTATCTATCAAGCTGTGTAGATCGGAGCTAAATCTTTTTAATGGTCGAAGCCGTATGACCTCTGGCCCAAAAATATACAGAAATGAAAACCTCTTTCGGGGCTTTTATGCGTTCTTGCCCTCCGCTTTTTCCCAGGGTCTCCACCCCCGTCATCTCCGGAGTCTTGGTTTACTTTCCACTTGACCAATTTCGTACCGCGTCCGAAGACGGTTCTTAAGTTATTCGCAGCCGACCATTTACATATTTACGTTTACGTAGAGACGGGGAGAGGAGAACTCACACAGTGAAGCGAGAAGCGGATACGAATACAAGTGCAAGTGCTGCGGGGTCTGAAAACTGGGGCCACACCAAGGAAAATCTAAGCAAATTCCCAGGTACTATATACTATAACCCCTATATATATACATATACCCGTTTTTTTGTATGCTATTCAACATCCCCGACGGTGTTTCTCGCTGTCGTGCCCGCCGCTAGTATCTTAGTATCTGTATCTGTGACTGACTAAGTCTTGAAAAGTCCCCAGTCATGGGCCCATGTACACGACTGTATATATATATACCTACGATCTAGAGAATTTCTTCACCACTACACGAGCGCCTTTTCCATTTTTCATTATGGTTATTATCTTGAAGATATGTATCTTCGCTTCGGTTGGATATAATTAAACAGCGAGAAAAAAATTTTAGCATGGGAAAAATGTAAATATTACTTGTAATTTGTTAGCAGATGATGTGGATGTTCGTGATCATATGAGGGTTCCATTTTTATACGGCAACGGCGACGTTCGTGGTAACGGTGACGTTGATGTTGTTGCAGTTGCAGTTGCAGTTGTTGCTGCTGCTGATGTTGCTGTTGTTGCTGCTAATGTTGCTGCTGCTGCTAATGTTGACGTCGGTGGTGGCAGGTTGAAATTGTTGTTGGTCGGGGCTTTGCTTTTGCAGGGCCAGCAGCATTTTGCTTAATGTTGCATTATTCCGTTAGTTTTTTCCCTTTGTCGGTGGGTTGGTTGGTGGGTGGTTTAGTGGGTTGTTCGGTGGTGCTTCTACTACTGCTGCTGCTACCAATTGCCGGGCCAAGCATTTTGCCCAGTTACAGTTCCAACCATAAATTTATGTGCCACTGCATGTGTGAATTTGCGTCCATTTGTTGTCAGATTTTGTTTTGTTTCTGGCTCAGACCCTAACCCACATTTTGGCCACGATTTTGCAATCGCCTAATGATGTGGATATATATTTTATTCTCACTCTTCACTGGGGGGTTTTCTTTATCGTTGGGGATATTTTTTCAAAAACCCGTTGCGTTTGTAACACTTTGAAATTGGCACTTTCAAAAACCGATTCGTTTGGCACTTGGTTTTTACCGTTACTTTCAAAACCCGGTAGCTTTGAAAAATAGTTTTTCCGGTTACCTCTAAAACCGTTTGTATAGATATGGTTTTATTCCGATCTTGGTTCTTCGAGATCACTTTTCCGTTCGTTTTTTCGGCTCGACTAATGATCGTATCGGCTGGCCAAAATCAAGGGCTTCGACATTTCACAAGATACAAACAGCGGACGCTGTGACAGCAACAACACTCTTGGGAAAATGAAAATGCACGGCACAACCACTAACTAACTGGGCCTATATACATACAGTCTGTATGTAGATATATTTATGATTATAACCGGGGACGCAGATGGCGATGTCAATGGAGAGCTACCAAGCTACTACTAAACCCCGATTCAGAGTCAAAGTTTGAGTTTGAGTTTGAGTTTGAGTTTATGATCGGAATTCAAAGTCGGAGCCGCATGAACCACGCTGATGACGAACCGCAGGCCAACTAAACTCGGCGACCGATCGACGCTCTCTCGAGCTCAGAGATTGTGAACTGAGGTGAGGTGTCTCTGCCTTCAGACCCGATGCATAAGGCCAAAAAGCGAAAAGCTGAAAGCGGTTCGTAGTCGGAATCGGAACCTTTCGCGCAGTCTTGGGCCAGAGCGGCCAGAGAGCGGCAGCAGCTGCTCAGCAAAGCGGAACGAGCAAGTGGCTCAGGTCCAAGCCCAGGTGACTGGGTTCAGACTCTGACTCCCATACCATACCATACCATACCATACCATACTCTATACCATACCCCATACCATTCCATACCCTTGCTCTGACCGTAGCCCCCACCAGCGGCAAGTTCTTTTGAATCTAATGAAACAAACCTTATTTAATATTCATCCGTTCTCTCGCGATCTCAACGAAAGAGCCTCAGTCTCACTTTCAGAAATGGAAAACCTGTTCCCCGATCCATTTGTTGTGGGAGAGACGACTTTGCATTTGGTTTGTTTCAATTGGTGGAGGCCCCAATGTCGTTGGGGTCTATACATACAGATGTATCTGTGTGTTATGCTGGCCACAAATACTCGAGAAGGGGATCTCACCCATACACGGAAGCCAGCTCCATATGCAAATATCGTAATGTGCGGAACCTCTGGGAAAGGGTGTTATTTGGATCAAATGGGGCACAGTCTTTTCGAGAGAGATTCGTTAAAGATTCGGAAATGTTTAAATAGACAATCTTGCCAAAAGGAAAGCAACGAAAGTCATTAATCAAAGGTTATGTGAGGGTGTTTAGAAGGGATGGGAAGGCGTTTCAAAGAGATTTGTTAAACTAAACCTAAATTTGCTTAATTATCAACAGTCTAATTGGACTGATGATTAAAAGGAGTTCAAGAACTCCAATGAGGAGTATATACTACGTTCTGTAATTAACAACGTTATAAAGATCTTATATAATAAAAGCTTCAGGAACTCCAAAGAGAAGTATAGAATATCGTTAATAACCAATTTTATGAAGAATCGATATAAGAACAAAAATAAGCTCAATTTATAAAACAGTTACCAAGAAACTAATATATTTTGATATCGATACTGGAATATATTGCTTATCCGATTTAAGACCTTAAAAGAAATATAATAATATTCAAATATGAAGATTTTCATATAAATCAATAGCTTTTCAGAACTTATTTCCTCCTCTTTACCCCTGAACCCCAAGTAAAATGCACCGCCTGCAACTTGGCCAGTAATATTCAAATAGAGCCATATTTAATTTTTATTTCACTCTCCACCCACCGGAGTTTGGGGCCAAGCTGATTGGTATCCAGCTGGAGATAAGCAGCCAAATTGCATATTGCAACAACTGCTGCCAGCGAACTGCTCAGGCCAAGCCCAAAAAATCAGGGGGAAAAAAGATAAAGCGAAAAAAGCGACGAACCTCCCAGAAGACGAGTCAAGTACGTTGGCAGGTAAAAGTGCATGCGGCCACGCGCAGGGCATTTAATAATAATAAACTCGTACTTGGTTGGGGGGCCAAACCGGAGTTCATAATTAAGCGCCAGAATGCCGGGAAAGCCTTCTTCGCTGCTTCTTCTTCTTGCCATAGATGCAAAATATTTGTTTATCACATCGCGATAATTGCCGCCGGCGAAGTGAAGACCAAGTCGTGGATTCGTGGATTTATGTGCAGAGGGGCCGAGCACCGGGCAAAAGGTTCCAAACATCCAAACCATCCAACCATCGGAGCATCGGTCAGACCAAAAGAAAGAAAAGCCCAAAAACGAGGGGAGAATCGCTGCACAAGCGTGTGCCGATCGAGGAGACTGAAGACGGAAGACTGCAGACTGGAGACTGAAGAGCAAAGACCAAAGACTGAAGACCGAGAAGCGGATCGGGATTGGGACTTGGGGCAGGGGGATAAAGATTGCGAACGAGGATGAGGATCGGATCAAAGCGTGCCTCGGTGGTGGGTACAAGTTTATTGGCGTGGCGTATGTGCAAATAGCCGCTCCATCGACGATCGACTGCTCCAAAAATGTGGGCGTGTGACACTTGAGCGGCTATCGCCAGCGAATCTCTGCCTAAATGCGGCAAAAGGAAAAGAAAAACAAATTATTGATAAGCAGATCGGACCCGGGCACTGCGAGAAATCGCGCTTAGTGTGCCGCTAATCAAACTCGTTTGTGGTCCGGCGATTTCTCCCAGTGCACCGCCAGGTAGGAGGTGCAGTTTGCGACTCCTTATCGCTGATGAAGCCCGGCACACGTTGGCTTTGGTCCAGGTCCGGGCCTCATGCATTGATGGCTGTCTGTTTCTGTTTCCGAGGCTCTTGCCGCCATGCCGTTCTGTTATGTAAGAAATACTTGGCATTGGCAACTGCGGTAGGTACCGAAGAGAGTCTGGCCTGGAGACCGCCGAGTTCGCAACGAGGGAGTGTTCCGGCATTACACAATTCGGCTGCCAAATGAGTTGACAATGAAGTTATTACTCGAATATATAGTTTTCTGGATGAAAACGACTTTGTTTACTTTTAATACAATTTGGGTAAACTACTAGAAATTTTGAATTCGAATTCCCGCGGCTTACAGTGTTGCAAAGTAAGCGCAGGTCTACGCCTTGCAGCACTAATATGGTTGCCAGATGGTTACAAAAACTGATGATGCTACGAATTGTTTTTTTTTAAACAATTTTTAAATAATTTATTTGTATATTTTTTAAACAGAAAACCATACATGATTTTGATAATTATTCCAATCTTATATTTATTTTGAAAAAATTGTAATTCCATTCAAAAAAATAAACTAAATATTGATAATTCATATGGTTTTTTCTTGGCATAAATAATCCCAAAACTATATTTTATAATTTATCTAAAAGTTACGGTCATCCGAAATACACATATGCTGTGACCAAATCTGAATATGTTTTTATAACTAAGCTCACAAAATAAAAGAAATATGCAATTGTGTATAATTTCAAAGCGCAGCGAATACTGCAACAAAAATGTTTTAATAGTTTGAAAAAAATCGTATAAAATGAGTTATAGTATTCAATTCTGACAGGATTCACAAATGCTAAAATAAATTAATGAATATACCCCTTATATTCGGCCAATTGAATTGTTAATGTGAATTTATTAGTAAACTCCAATCTTCCTACTTTCTTGATTTTACAACTGTCTAAATGCCATTTAGTAAACAGAAAATCATTATTGCAACTTGGGAACTCAAAAACATGCAAGCCGAAACAGATAGTCAACGTAATCACATTTAATTGAAACATTAACAGGTTTGTTTCTTTTTTTTTTTGTTTATTTAGATTTGTAAAACCCTAACTCTGCTTGTCTGGAAAAAGAATAGATGCGTGGTCATCTAAGATCTTGGGCGCTCCTTCTTCTCCTTGTAGAGGGCCAGCAGGGAGACGTTGGCCACCTTGACAACCTTGAAACGGACACCGGGAATATCACCGACGGCGTGACCCTTACGACCGAAACCGGCGACCAGGACCTCATCGTTCTCCTCAATGTAGTTCAAGCTACCGTCACGGGGTACGAAGGCGGTGATCTTCTTTCCGTTCTTGATCAGCTGCACCCTCACGCACTTGCGGATGGCAGAGTTAGGCTGTTTGGCCTCAACGCCGCTGTGGAGAGAAAAACAAATGTATGAGTTTTGGATGGTAAAGCAGGGGGGAGATTAAACAAAACACTTAAATCACTTTTTGCTGCTGGCACGCTTGTCATCTCACAGTATAATCCTGTGATTTGAGTTCCAAACCAACAAAACACAAAAATATACTGCGAGGCGTCGAGACGTGGGATCTCTTCTCTGAATGGGGGGAAAACACACACATATTTCTGCAGTCCAGATATACTTACACCTTCTCAAGGACGATTCCCTTGGCGTGGGAAGCACCTCCGAAGGGATTGGCCTTCCATCTGGTACCCAAATGAGCCTTCTTGTAGTCCTTGTCGGCCCAACGCTGGTCGCGACGGTGGTTCACATGCT